ACAGAAACTGGTCCAGGCAGACACAGCAACAGGAGGCATGGTGTGAACACAGACTTCATGCACTTCAAAGGATGAGTTACATCAAAAGTGGTATGGAAAATTGGTTTGGAGTGTGGCTAGGGATTGTAATGTCAGTAGCTTACGCTTCTCTCTTTGAAGACAAGTGAAGTTAGGAAAGGGAAAAGAGTAGATTTCTTTGAGAGAAAAGGGAAGATTGGGCATCTTTTGGCAAGGAGTAGGCATGCATGATTTTTTTTTTTTCCACTACCAAACTCACTCCAAGAGCAGACTTTTCTCCTTGTGACTGGATCCTCACCATCAATTCATTCTTTAGCCTGTAAGAATTTGGTTTCCATTCCCAACCTGTCTCTGAAACTACATCCTCAAAGACCGTCAATGGCCATCAAATTGGAAAAGACTAAAATCCGACTTCACACTACTCATCCTTTCATCCAATGTCGTATAAAAAATTCTCTCTAACCTTGGATTTCTCTAACAATGTTGCGCTTGTCGATGACTTCTCTGATGGTTTCTTCTAAGTCTCCTCTGTTGCTTCCTCCTGCTTCTCCACTAAAATTGGAATCTCCCAACATCCTGTCTTTGGCGCTCTGCCGCTGTTTTGTTGTTGCTGTTGCTACCATGATGTTATCATCCTGTCCCCTGGCTCCACCTCTCATCTTTGTGTCTGCAAGTCTGATCATGAACTTTATTCTGAGCTGTGGAATAAATCTGTACAGTCTTTCCCACACAAAAATGTCCTATTCAGACAGGAAACCATTGCAAAGACACCTGGCAAGGATGCTAAGGACCTGCACCGGGACGTTAAGAGTGGAAAGACAGGATAGATTCATGAAATACTCGGCAGATAAAATAAGCACAACTCTGATGGATCGACTGTCCAAAGAAAGGGAGGAAGAGACAGAAGGAGAGAGATAGAAGGGGGCAAAGTTGAGCCCAGGTGTTGTAGCTTGGATCACTTGGAGGTTGGTGTGCCCTTTACTGAGCTGAGGAATACATAGGTAAGGGGCAGGTCTGAGGGAGAAGACAATGGCTTCCCTTTAGGACATTCTGAATATACCACATATCTCTGCCTTTTTGTCATTCGAGTCTTCCTTTTGTAGTGCTGTTAGAATTATCTGCCTAAAACAAAGGTCAGATTATGCCATTCTCCTCCTCAATTTTTTTTTTTTTTTTTTTTTTGTGCTTATTAACTGCGGAGTTGTTTAGACATTCTGTCTCCTTAACAAGGGGTTTGAAGCCCTGCACAAGCTGGCTTTGTTTGATTTCATTATAATCTCCTAGCACAACAGAACCCACCATGCAATTTCTCACCTTCTTGCCTTTTCTCAAGCTGTTCTTTCAATCTGGACTGCACTCCCCACTTTTTTTGCCTAGAAAATTCCACTCATCGTTTAGATTGCAGTTTGTATGGGATTATATCCCTCATAAAGCCACCTCTAACCCTGGTTGGAATTAGTATCTCTTTATTCAACTTTTCCACAGCAATTTATGTGTATTTTTCCTGGTATTATAATGCATTTGCTCAAATATGCATTTCTTCTATTGGTTGATAAAACTCTTTAAAGCTGGGGAAAGTATCTTATTTGTCTCTGTTTCATACCAGCTGCTTGCACATGACTTCCCACATATTTGTTGCTTATTAAATAATGAATGAAAAGCAGAGAAACGGTTAGAATGGAAGAGGAGTCAGGGGGAGAAGTGATTGGTAGGATAGGCTTGGGCTTGCTTTAGAATATGGCCAACTGAGATAGGTACTTTGTGTGTGAAGAATAAGTGTGGGGAATAATAATGAGGGAGGCAATGAATTCTGGGTAATATGAGGGACTCGTATTTAAAGACAGGATCTTATGACACAAAATCATGTATGTACACAATTTAGCCTTACTCAGAGGCAGACAAGCCAAAGTGTAAACTCCTTCATCAGCAGGAAATTATTACTCTGCCCATTTAAAAAGATACATGGCCTCTTTGTGTAACCAAGACTCCTGTATATTCAGCTATTGCTGCTGCTGTCCATTGTCTGATGCCATAGAGAGACGGGACCTTGACTGATAGTGTGGTGATGACTGCTATGCCCATTTAGTTAATTGTAGAAAAAGAAGGGCAGGAAGATATGCTGATTAATGGGATTTCCTTGACTCTTAATTATTCTTTTCATATGTTACCCTTTCATCAACCTGCATTTATTTTCAGCAGCACAAAGGAAAAATGAAAAAAAAAATATTTTAATAAGGTGAATCCCAGAATAAAAAAATTCCTGGCCTTCTTTCTGGATTCCTTCACACAAATACACACATCTTTTATGTTTATGTCTATATTATGTATGTATTGTATGCATTCTTTATATATATTTTCTGTGTAGCTATGTAACTCTCCATCATCAGTCCATGCTTAGCCCAAACCTGTGTTAGCAGGAGGACTGCTAGTTGTGGGTTAGAAATAGAAACAGAGATGACCCATATCCTGACTATTTCTATCTTCAATCAGCTGTTTTCCTTGAGGACAGATACTTCCCCGCTTAGCACCAGGTTCCTGAGGGAAACCTGTGTACACGAACAATGCCAGGTAAACCAAATGTAACCATTTTATTTCTCTCTGAGGTCTGGCTGCCAATCCCTTTGCTGGACCCCCGTTCATGGTAAGTTGGTACGTATGAGAGATACCAGGGGATGCCTTTTGCTTGGGCTTGGGGCTGGCCTCAGAAGCCTGGGGGATGGCTCCTCTCTTCTGGCCTCACTTGGGCTCTCACGTGGCTCCCCCAGGTCAAGGAGGCTCTCTGAGGTGGGAGGCAGCCAATGTCCTTGTCAAGTGACTTTCCCCTAATGGAGTCCTAGAAGAGCTCAATTCCTTCACAGACATCAAAAAGCAAACCCCAAAGGGCAGACTCTAGAGAGACTCTATTGTATGGAGCCTTCACCTTCTTCTTATGTGCCACCCCTTCCATTCTGTAGCATCATGACCCAATACTGTCTGTCTTTGGCTCTGCCCAATTTCAGTGCGGGGAAAGGAGAAGGGCTTTGAGCTAACTCAGTAGGTTGGATATGTGGCCAACATTGGTTTAGAGGCTAAAGTGGTGGCAACATTCTTGCTGAAGATGATGATTTCATTGGATACCTATGGTTCCCCATCTCACAAATCCACCTTCTTAAGCCAACCTTTGCAATAGTAACCAGCTGTGGTCAGATGCGATTGACAGCACTTGCCCTTGGCTTCACCAGGCGCCTCTCGCATTCTGCACCATTGGCTTCTTTGCCACCTTTGTGGCTGCCTGTGGGAACCTATGCAGACATTCTAAATCATGGGTAAACCTGGAAGTGCAAGGCAGTTAACTCTCTGGGGCTATGCCAGCCCCTTCTTTTTTCTGTCCCTTGGGCTGTCAATTCTGAGATACATTTATACAGCTTCTCATGAGAGTTTCTGGAAGGATTGCATCCTACTTGTTCACAGCAATGACCAGCTGGTCAATACACCCCGGGGGTTGGCTTTCCCTTCTTACTTGCTTCACTCTTTATGGTTCTCCACTTTTGTTTCTAGAATTGCTTCCCCAAATAAATCTCAGGGTTCTGCTTTTTAGGGGGACCTAGAAAATAGATTGGCGATGGGGGTGGGGGTGTGTGTCACTACAAATGCTGATCAAACCCATTGCATGTAGAATGTTATGGCATTCTATTTGAGTGGGACATAAGAGGACAGGGGGCTTGTTGGTTCTTTATAAGACACACTGAAAAGTGTGGACCACCAATTAGGAATTTCAGTTAAAATAAAAATAAGAGTACGCTGAGGCCAAGTGATGGCATCTCCTGTCTAGAAATCTTTAAGATCAAAAAGACACTCACCATTCTGGAATGGTTTGGCTGGAGCCCTACATTCAGGCCAGAGGATGGAGATAAATTTCCCTTGTCCTAGACCAGTGGCTAGACCCAGACTCTTGGCTTTAATTGTCTGATGACAGGGATAGATCAGTTATTTTCCTGTGTTTCTGTAAACACGTGGAGACTTTCCATCCAATGGAAGTGACCGGGAACTTTCTTAATGTGTTTAGAGTTTTGGGGCTGAGAATCTTTTTTTAAACAAGTAGAAAAATAAGCATATTTAGTATATTCTTTCATTGTATTAAGACTAAAATGCCTTTTTACTTGTTAAAAGCAACTGTTTGCCTTTCTACAGAAAACATTAGAAATGTGGCAGGTGGTGGCAGAGGGCTCAGAGGTCACAGTTGTGCTAGTTACCTGGACTAGGTTTCAAACAGTGGGGAGTGGGGTGGGAGGAGGGGGTGAAGTTAGAGAAATGAAGACAGCCCGACAAACACTTTCCATCCCCATCTAGTTACCCCCTAACCCATCTAACCAGATTAAGTACCCACAGTTTGGTAACATAATGTTTGAGCCACCCTCAAGATGATGGCAGGCTATATAAGCATGATGATTTAGTGTTTAATCAGAAGAGAAAAGTTTTAGACCTCTCAAACTGAAGACAGCAGAACAATATTTTTAGCCACTTTTTTTTTTCTTCCACGAGTCTGTTGTAGTTTGAAAATGTTGAGATGTCATTTTTGCTATAACTGCCTTTCAAGGATTCTGCTTTGTGACCACTTTGTTTCCAAAGGCTGATTTTTGCTTATTTAGAGAGTGATAGAATCATAGTTTATTATACGAGATCTGTTAGGGGGTAGGAGTGTTACAGATCACCCAATTTAACCTATAGCTTAGGCCTCCAATTCAGGTGATCCGACTCCACGGTAATGGCCCTCAGGGTTGGAAAACACTATCTGTAATCTAGCTATTTGCACTAACTAGGGTGGAAAGCTACCTGTTAGGGACTGGCATACGGGAAAATAAGTTTGAAGTGTGAATTGAGGTGGAATCTGCTCTAGGTCAAGAATTCTACTGAAAACTAAGGACTAACGAACGAATACTTATCCTAACTTATCAAACCAGAATTCCAAAGGGATACAGCAGTTGACTTTTCCCCCTTTGCAGCTCTGACCAGTGTGAGCAACATTTGCATCTCCTCTTTTATAGATCCAGCGATCAAGAAAGAATTTATCAATAGATCTGCTACCTCATAAAGAAGAGGTCTTGGTTGATGACTTGAGTCCATTCAGAGCTTGGACAGGGGAAGATTGTGCACCTTAGTCCCCACGGTCACCGCACTTTATTTACCCCGGGGACTGCTTTTTGGATACCTGCTTTGTTACTTAACGGTAGTTATTTGCAAAATAAACCTCATTTTGGGTAGGACTTTTCTGTTTTGAGACAGTGGTGTAAGTAAGAATGTTGGCTGGGGTCTCTTGAATATTTGTGGTTGGTGGCTCCTTAGAATGGAGTCCAAACAAATCCCCAACGGCATTATTTTGTCCTGTGATTTTTTGCTCACAGGGCGCAAAGGATTCCAGTTCTACGTTGTCTGCCTTCTGGAAGCGGGATGCAGTCACTCAGCTGCTGTCCTCTTCCTTCCCCCCTCCCCTTTTGTACGTGAAGAGCTCCTCTTGGGTCTCCTTCCTCCCCAAGGACCGAAAACACTGGGGTGACCTGAGTTCTGTTTCAGCAACTAATGGGATGTGTCCTCTTCTTCAAATAGTTCACAAGCCCCACATGATCTTTGGCAGGTGGGGGTTCTAATATGATTAATCTGTGGGGAAGGAGGTATATGTGCTCATCAGACCTTGAGATTTCTTCCTGTGCCCGTCTGTGACCAGCACTGGGGCTCTGTTAAATTGTCAGGGACTTTTTGGTGGCCAAAAAAGAGAGCCACTCAGCCATAGACACATTATAGAAAACATGGCCTTGAGTCTTAAAGTATATTTATTTAACATGACAGTAGGAAATGTATGATTTCAGATTAAATTCGAGTAGGGGGCCACAATACTGGCTTGGAGCTGCCCACGTGCACATGCAGCATTCTACATAAGCGAAGATGTTAGAGGCTGTGGTCTGTTCCGTCACAGATGACTCCGATCCCAATCATTCCTCAGTCACTGGAAGCCCATTAGTGGAAGACGATTATGAAACTGATGATTATTTTCTTTGTATTTCTGGCTTTTCTCAACCACAGGGAAAATGTGAGGTAGGTGTGGGATCTAAGAAAAAAAATATGTGTACAAAATGAGAAGCCACCCCGGCCTATAGTGCTAGCAAAAGGCAAAGAAGTCTGGCTTATTTTAATATTTTCAGTAAATATCAGCTGCCTGCAAACACAACTGATATTGAATAAACTGAGAGAACTTGATTCAATTCCCTAAAAATAGCTTTTGGATGAAAAACTGAAGGCGAAAATAGTGTCTGATTAGTAACTGGTCATTTTCAAAGTGGCTTCTCCTACATTATCTCATTTTTATGAAAAGTAAATTTGACCTTTTTAAATGCTAGAGTGAAGCAGTTCATAATTTCTTACAAGGAGCAAAGGACATTACATTTGTAAGCATGCAAGCCGTGAACTGGATAGAACATTTTCTTTTGCTGCTTATATTTTTTTATCAACCATCATCGATTCATAGGGAAGATCTCTAATGAACAGAGCTTTAAAATGGATTTCAAAAAATTATTGTTTCAACTTAGTGTGCGTTTCATCTTTTTTTTTTTTTTTTTTTTTTTTTGTCTCAGTTTCTTTCTCTGGTACTTTCCTTTGAATGGTGAACTATTACTTGCATTTGGATAGATTATTATTTAGCTTGCAAAATAGACTATTTCCCCCCTCATTAAAATCTCATACTTGCCAAACTTCGTTAGGAGAAATGGAATTATTCATCTGCTTCCCCCCTGCCCTTTGGCTATGAGGTCAGTAAAATGATGTTAAGCACGAGAGGGTAAGGCTGGTGAACACTTTTAAATGTCACTACGTAATTTCAGGAAGGAGCCGGCCTGCAACTGTACTGAATGATGGATATGCTTTCAGCCTTAATGTCTATTAATGACTTACAAAATGACAGTTTGCATTATCACCATCGCTGTTCAAAACTTGCATTTTGCTATAGCTGTAACTAGAAGGGGACATTTCCTGAACTTATTTAAAATACGCTGAAAAGTTAAAATGGGAACAAAACAAGACAAATAAAACCCTGAGACTAATAAGTAGTCAAGGATGGCAACCAAGGAGAGAAAAAAAAAAAAAAAAAAAAAGAAAAGAAACAAAGAGTATAGCCAACCTTTTTTTTTTGTTTAATTAGAGTATATTATACTTCCAAACTGGATACACTAGAAATTGGCAATGCAACATAAGATGCAAAGAAATATACCAGTTACTGTCAAAATGACCCTGTACAGCCTTGTAATGCAAAAAGCTTTATACAATACAAATTTTCAGTAATGTACACAAACCTTGACAGTATGATCATCTGAACATAATATGAAGAATTAAAAAAAGGATAGAAGAAAGTGCTGAGAATGCTAACTGCTGTACTATATGGAAAAATAAGCTAGCTTTCATTGAAGAATGCATAGTGAAAACAGAATTGAAGTTAGTTGGCAGGTGAATTTCTCAAAGACGTTAGTGTTTTACACGGAAAGGATATCTATGGAATAATCCTTCCCTGAGTATCAAACTGCAAACCAAATTCGAGGGTATATATTATCTCGGTGGAGTCTGAAAAATGCTGTAGATTTTTCTTTATTAATAACAATAATAATAATATAAAAAGTCAAACAAACTCCAAACACACCTTTTCTCACTCAGAAAACTTTTATAATTTACCAGAAAGATTGATGACTCTTTCCAAAGTGCTAAAAAAGTTGCCCAATTACATTAAGCATAACTAAGTCATTCAAATACAAGTTCAGTGGCAAGCAGTGAAATGCATGGCATTTGAGCAGTAAACATCTCCTTCCAACATCCCTCTCAATCTTGAAAGTATCAGCCTAGGACCTCATATTGCACAAGTGGCATGCTGTAAAACCTGTAGTCCTAAATGTAGGGGCCACCCTTTCAGGTTTTTAACCTGCTGGTGCTTATGTGTGATTCACCTTTTCTGCCAGCCTCAATGGGATCACCATGGCCCTCTATTCTGTCATCACTGAACTTGTAATTTTGAAAGCACATTATTAGCCAAGTGGCACATTCTCCATTATATGGGGATAAAGACAAGACTTAAAAAAAAAAAAAAAAAACCAACCCACCCATAAGCCCAGTATTCTTGGAGTGTATTGTCCATAACTGTCTATAGTGTCTTTTACCGAGACATTGACATGGCGAGGTTGAACGACATTTCTAACATAGCCAAGAACAAATGTCTCTGCTGGAGAATGACCGAGGGTTCGGGAGCTTCCTGCCCTAGCTGGCTCAGCCTCCCTGCCCCTGGGGACATCTCCTTAGTGTAAACAGGTTTTCCAGGGCTGGATGACTGGCGAAGAGAAGTGTATCACACCTGCTCGGTCTGGGGGAAGGAGGATGGTATGGGGGTGGGGGAGTCCATGGTGTGGACAGATGGTACAGTCTTCTGGCTTCCTGTAGAACTGTACCAAGTTCGAGGGGGCTTTCAGTGAAGCAAACTGACTAGAGGAAGAAAATTAGGGATGCTTTTATTTTCCCCTGGTGAAACAGATGAAAAGAAAAACCCCAACTCTAGGATAACACGTGATGGAAAACAGCAACGCAGTAAGAAGGCATTCCTCTTGTACACCAGTTCGTCAATAGATAAATAATATATAAACTTTTATATTCCAATCTTTCCATTATTATACAAAGCACATTTCTTCCTGCTCTTTCAGCCTGTTTCATACTGGAAATTCTGTTGTCTTAAAAATACAAGCAATTAACATATTCTGCCAAAGATTCTTTTTTTTCTTGTTAAATCACCCTTTACTTTTTTAGGATTAGCAAAGGGCTCTGCGACCAATCCACATCTGCTTCTTGCTGCAATAAAGTGCTGCACATAAGTTGCCATTTTAATGACCACAAGATAAAAGCTTTAAATAAGGATAAAGTTAGCCTCCTAGCAGGTTACATCTACCAGGCGTTAACAAAATGGAATACAGAATTATTAATAACATGGAGAATACCACTATAGCCAGACGATCTGCAAACACAAGGGAAACTTCTCAGGGGCATAAATTGAACCGTAGGACTAAACAGCACCTTTTTGTTGGGTCGTTATATGTCAAAGAGGTTGTGACAAAATTTTCAAACATACAGTCTACTCATTCCATATAAAAGGTACATTTTCTTCCTTTTACTTTTTTTTTTTTTTTTTTTTTAGATGTAAAAAAAAAAAAATTTTTAAAAACAAAAAAACTGTGAAAAAAAAAGCCGTTTTTTTTTTTTTTTTTTTTTTTTTTTTTTTTTTAGTCTGAGCATGGATACCCAGAATTTATCCAAACCCCTTTAATCTCCTTGGCTGGATTTATCAACCATAAAATTTTTCACTCATACAGTTTTTTTTTTCCTGCAAATGAATGGTAACCACTGAATTAATACATCATATATATATATATATATATAATCATATATATATATAATCTGCCCTTTAACAAATGATGCAGTGTGTGCACCATACACATTGTATATGTATGAACACACACACAAAACACACAAGTTTTGTGATGTTGGCTGCAGTTCTGCGAGATATTTCTTCCAGAGTGGTCTCTCGGTTCTCACATCTTCATAACCAAGAAGATCTGAGCACAAGGTCTCTGGCACCCTGTCGGAAATCTCAAGCAGCACTGCGGGTGTCTACCAGTCCTTCATCGACTAAGCACCAGGCCCTACCACTCTGTAGCCATAAAATAGAGAGGGAAAGGTGACGAAGGAGCTCGGGGAGAGACTGTCATGGATGAACAACCCAGGAGGGAAAAGAATGTTCATCGCTGTGAAAGAAGCCAGTACAAAGAGATGTGCAATAGAAATGTCATGGCACACGACACACGGCTTTCTCTTTCAGAATCCGCAACACCCACACGCCCCATTCACCCAACAGAAAACAAAATGCACCAGTACATAAGCTTGCAAGTGCTGATTGCTATTAAGGACACTCTCTTTAGGGTCTAACAAGACAAAATTCCTTTCAGTTAAAAGTACGGAGAAGGGGCTGAGAGTGGGAGTGGGTGGCTGGGGAGGCATGCCTCTGAAGGTAGAAGTATGCAGTAGGTCACCTCTCTGAAGATTGGATAAAGCAGCTTTCAGGTCAATGCAATAGGTATACACACAGAGCCAATTCTCTATTCCTTACTAAAGATATACAGTACACGTGGTTCAGACCCAGGGCGGGTCTGTAGGTTTTGCAGCAACATACACCTGCTGGGGTTGTGTT